ACAGCTCGTGTTCGGCTCGTTAAGCAAACGAGTCGAACACGAACACACTTTTTGAGCTCAAAATATAAATGAGCCGAACACGAGGCTCGTGTTCGGCACGTTTACACCCGTACTGCTGCGCGACTCATGTAAGAAATCATGAGGGTTTGAAAGAACGACTTGTAAAGCAGATCTAACGGACAGTAATGTGTTGTATTTCATATTTGTTTTCTTTGATAAATGGAATTTTGGATTATTTCGTTTGCTGTACGGAAGCGGGGAGCAGCTCGTGCCATGACCACATACAATGTACGAACGCAGACGGGCATCCAGGTTCGGTACCGAACCGGACCGGACTTACGGGGCATTTCAAATCTATCACATGAAAAATTGGAATTTATTTTTTTGCCTTTTATGTTTGCGAGATTAACGGATTTGCCATTTAATTCCTCATAATTTACATATCTGCCACCGTAATCATAAACCTTACTTAAATCTCATCCTACCCAGAAAACATAGCAAGACTTCATACGTAGAGTTACATGCGTAGTCCAATGAAATCACGTCAAGTGACAGTGATAGAAAAAAAAAAAATTTTCCGTGTTATTCATATATTATTATATGTTATTCAAGTGTTATTGTGTATTATTCAAGTACTATTGATGTGTTATTATGCTATTATAACACCGAAAATATTTTCAAAACACAATAACACCTGAATAACATATAAAAACACATGAATAACATAGAATAACACGGAGGGAATATTTCCCTGTGTTTCCGGCCAATTTTTTTTTTCACCTCCATGTGGCGTGATTTCATTGGACTACGCACGTAACTCTACATGCGGAGTCCTGATGCAATATTTTTTCCATTATACCTAAGCACGAAAAATTGTATTTCAATTTTTACATTTTAAAATGATTGAAATTTGCTTGGTGATAAGAAAAAATTGGGCTACATAAATGTAAAAAATATAATTTAAATATTAGATATGTAAATACATGTGAATGTTTTATAGAGACATTTACATACTTAAAACCTAATTTGATTTTTAAAACTATCATACACCTTTTCCTGCATAGGTGAGAATCATGAGATGGTATGGATGTGAAAATTGAAATGCAGGTGCTAGAGATGTAAATATAAAAGAATTAAGTGGTATGTATGTAAATCTTCATATACGTAATTCAAAATTTAATGATTTGATTTTCACAACTTTAATGTCCTGTGCATTTTAATCTAAAAAATAAATATTAGTGATTTTTTTATTAAATTTAAAATTTATATATTTAATTAATATGAAAAATGTAAATATTAGATGTGTAAATACATGAAAGTTATGTCGTAGATATGGAGATCCTCCATTTGAATATCGTTCACTTAATGGATCGAGGAGAAAATATTCCATACGGACAGCGCATGCAGAGATGCATGCACTATCCGATCTCGGTCGTCGATCACAATTTTTTTAGTTTTTTTTTTTAAATGGGGCCCACCGAAATACAGTTTTGCTGTAACACATGTATCTCTATATGCGCTGTCCGTATGGAATAATTTTTCATAGATCAAGAATCAAATGCTACGCAGAAAAAAATACACAAATGCTAGATATAGAATTAATTCATATATTCACCACATTAATTTCATTAAAACTAGTAATAAAAGAATCATTAAAAAGCACAACTAAATTAGAATGAAAAATTAAATTTGGCAGAAATTCATTCATCATTTACACGGAATTCAACGTAACTTATAACTAGACATTTTTTTTATGGGCATTTATTTACGTACATATCACTCAATTATTATATTACCAAATTTGTATAAAGTATTAATATCACAAATCTACGATCCTAAACTTAGGGTCAGGTTGCAAAGTGTCGTGAGGCCCGAAATGCACCCTTATTCTCTAATGACACACTTGAGAATTCAATGGACTTCTGTTTGAATCTTAATCTTTTAAGCAAGAAATATTTAAACTTCAATTAAGAGTCATACAGAACTTTGACTTCATCAAAGTGAATCTTTCTAAAAAAAAATCTCACGACAAAATTAACTAAGAACCGCTACTTATGAACTTAAAGTTTGCAGAGATTTCAAAGCTCTCAAATCCAAATATTATGATCAATTTTCGTTATGATGGATAAAAAAATGTAATATAAATTTTCTTGATTTATTATTAACAAATGGTAACATTAATGTTGAAATCAAATTAAATGATTTTTAATGCCATCCTGACACAAATTATTTGAGGATAACCTAATAACCTTTTTCAAATGAAATATAATTTAGTGCAAAAATTTTCTGTATTATTAAATTGATACATGTTAGATAATCATATTACATATTCAATTAAAATTAAAGAAACAAATTAAGGATAAAACAAAGACATTAAATTTACAAAATATCTATACACTCAATCCCCAAAATAGATTTTGCTAATCCTTTAAACTTGAAAGGAAAGAATCAAATATCACAGGTTTGGACTTCAATAACTTAATGCATCAACAGTAGTTTTCAAATAACATTTAAACCTACTTATCCAAATAGTCGTAAACAAATAAACGAGATTAAAAAAACCCTCAATGTAAGACACTTCATCTCTCATATCTATAAGTTGGAGAGAGATACATAGACATGCACAAGGCATTTGTGGTCTTCAAGATTAGTGTCTTGAAGATAAGTTGCGTGCATCATCGTATCCCTGGTATAAATAGATGGATGCCTGTTATTGGAGATCGCAATAAGGTTGTTTGATAACTTTAAAATTAGTGCCATGCATGTTGGACCAAAATCTTATTTGAAGGTTCATAATCAATGAAGGGGCATCACACATTTTGAGGTGTTCAAAAAAATCAACGATGTTACTGTGTCAGTATAAAGGAAGATCATCAAACACGAATCTTGACATTTTTTATCAGTTCGGGACGGATTCAAACCAATAATATTTTGGTGTCAAATCATTCAAAAATATTTATCATCAACTATGCACTATAGGCAACCAACACATTTTTTAATGGTAGAGCCTCGTTCCTTTAAACATCAAGATTCAACAGCCCTACGAGTTAGAATAGAAATACCTGATAGCCGCTTGGAGGGTACTTATTATAAGGTAGCATTAGCCTGAGTACATCCTTTCCTTCGTTTGGAAGATATTGATTCTAATTTTTTTAGTTCAAAAGAATCTCTTGAGATCTGCAAAGTCATGTAAGAAAAATTTTAAAAAAACATGGTATTGCATCGAAAACAGAAGATTAAATATGATACCACTCATTTATTATGTATTTACATATCAAACATCTAAACTTTAATTTTTATATAAATGCCACAATGCCTAGGCATGAAAAGGTATATTAAACTTTTTAAAAGTTAAAATAGTCATATTTTATGTGATATGAAAGATTTGGATGGTATAAATATAAAAAGTAAAGTTTAGGTGTTACTTGTTAGATATGTAAATCAATAGGAATTGATGGTATGTATGTATGTAAATGCCCTTAAAAATTATAGTTATGGATGATGCACTTGATGGTTGCTAATAGAATATATAATAGCTGTGTTGGTCCAATGAAATTCTAACCAATAAATGTCTACTTTTTCCTAAACTTCAATTGATGAAAGCTAGAACAACGATTTACAAAAAGGGATAATTAAGACGTTATCCGAGAATAAATTTTCTAATAAAGTCGAAAGAAACTTCCGGAAAATTCTATTTCTTTTGAATGAGATGAAAACCTAGTCGATTGAACTACTTTATAAAGTTGTATTTGAAGGTTGTGGTTTGTGTCAAAGAAACTGAAAATAAAAATTTTCATGAAACTTAAAGAACTGTAGATTCATAGCCTCACAAATTATTGAAATTCATTTTATTTCATTCAACACCATTCAATACAAATAAAAATTAAATCACTACATCCTTTGAAACAAAAAAATATATGATAGAAATGATACATTTAAGCCCATAAACATAAGCTTATATAGAAAGCTAAGTGATTATTATTTCTACACTAACTGAACGTTCAATATGAAACTAAGAGTTTGTTTGGGGCAGCTGCAGCCCTATAAAAAAGAGATTGTAAAGCTATATTGGAAAAAAATAATATTTGAAAAGCTGTCGTGTGTATTATAAATATTTATTTTTTTCTAAAAGGTTAGACAATTTTTTTATAGGTATCACACATAAGTTCTAGTTGTAAAAAACAATCCCATCATAAAAAATTATAGAAAGCAACAAGAAAACAACAACCAAATAAAATTTTGTTGGCGGTCTAAAAAATAAAACAACAAAAATTATCCAAAATAAAATAGCTTTTCTTCCAAACCTCTCAATTGGAATAATGAAAACATAAAGCTTAAGGAGAATCCTGATCAGTTTAGGATAGCTGCAACTTATTGTAAAGATGATTGTGAAGCTATGGTGGGAAAAACAACTTCTAAAAAGCCTGTGGTTGTAAAGATGATTGTGAAGCTATGGTGGGAAAAACAACTTTGTGATGGGAATCACAAATATTCTGGTAAAAAAAATAGCTTTCCACTACAAAAAATTCTAAAAGAAACATGAAAATAATTCCCCAAATAGAATTGTTATGGCAGTGTGAAACGCAAAGCAAAAAATTGTCCTGAACAGACCTTCACTCTCAGCCTACAAAGAGGGAAAAGTAGTTCCTCAATAAAAAATAACCTATAAAAGCTTCCAAAGTTCTGATAACATTATTTATATTATATCACTATAACACTCATTTTCTAATGAAATTTCAAATTTAGTCTACTACCACGTCTTTGTTAAAATAGATGAAAATTGCTTGCTATTTTCACATTGTAGACTTTCTGTGTTTTTTATCATAAATGTCATCTTAGGTTTCATTAGTGATGTCTAGAATAATTATCAACCTACAACACTAACAGCCTTTCCTTGTCTGGTTGATCTATTTGTAACGATAAAGGGTTTGCGTAATGGCGCCCAAAGCAATAAAAAATAGCACTCCACATTAAAATTTTATCTTCAAAGTCTCTTATATGGCATCTCAGGGTTCCTTTTAAGTTTTGATCTTGGATAATTTTTTGTTCTTTCGAGTCGCACCGAACATAGGTATGGATAATTTCATGGATAAAGCTCTAACTGCTGCTATGATCTTTCATCTAAAATGCAGCATTCAAATCAACTTTCCCTTTACGGATTCATGCCATTTCTAGTTGTAATCAACATAAAAATAAAATACACAAAACATCCATTTGTAAGCCGCTTACAGTGGTATGCGTAAAAATCAAATGGGCTTGTACTAGTTATCATAAAAATATCAAATTTATGTATCATTGCCTCAGAAACTACTTAAGCCACACAACACTTGCATTAGACACATGAACTTCTGTTTTGGCACAATCAAATTTTTGGGTTGTTGCATTGTGAATCTCATTCAAACTATCCAGCAATTGCATTGCAATCATTGTTAACAAAAGTTGAGTAGAACTAAGGTCAATAACTATTGATAAAAATTCCTTAAAAAGTCCATATCTTATCTAGGAGTAGCCATTTGCAACCAATCATGCTTTGCATCAAATATCATGTTGATGTTGCATTCTCTCTTTACTCCTGAAGATCCATTTGCAGGCATTACTTCTTTTAACCAAAGAGAGTTAAACCAAATCTCACTTTTTTATGTTTCATCAAAGACTTCAACTCCTCTATAATTGATATGATCCACTACTTTGATTATCATCCACTGATAGCTTCCTCAAAAGTGAGCTCACCAACAAATTTCATAATACTTAAGAGCCTATGGAACCATATTACAACAAGAATTCTCAAAATCAAAGCTTTTAGGTGGCCTTATCCGCTGCTTAAGCTTGAGAAGCACCAGTTCCTTCCGGCAGTAGAGGTGTCACCATCTTTAACTATTTATGCTCAATCAAAAATCTTACATGCATCTCTACTTTCGAATCAATGACTTCAAAGAGCTAAATATTTTGTAACACACAGGGATTCAATTTTTACTTGTGATGCACAAAGCCCAAAGCAAAATGACTTTTTTATTAACCAGCCAACTAAAAAATTATAAATATATATATGCATTATTAGATTTATTAGGTTTTCATAGCCGTTATTATTTATTAATTCGCCTTATTCTGCATTATGTAGTTTTTATTTATATTTATTCTATTTTTATTTCTTTGATTGTGTTTTTATTTCTTTCCTTATTTGAGTCCATTATAATTGGATTTAAATACCCCTCTCTATATCAATGAGAGACATGCTGCCTTGATCATCGATTCAACATGGTATCAGAGCCATGGATCTAACCCTAGAGGTTTCATTCAAACTATTGACCACCGGTAGGTCCTCTTCGTACAGAATTCTTCCTGTTGATTTCCACAGATCTGCAGTTTTCATATATGCAAAATTCTTTCTGCCATTTTTCCACATCTACAGTTTTCTTCCTATCATTTTCTTTCTGCAGTTTTCTTCCTGCCGTTTTCTTTCTGCAATTTTTCAGAATTCATTTGTATGTGAATCCCTGCCTATCGTGAACTATTCTTGTCGTTGATCCTAGCAGTCTCAGGCTCCAACAAACAGTTGGCCTTCCTTCTAACTACAGTTTCTATTTCATAACCTTACCAGAATTCATTAATGGATAAAAATCTCAACATCTTCTTTGGCACAGTCGGAATTATGGCGGATTCTTCTACTCTGAACCACCTTTAGAATGTGTTCTTGATTCAACCAGAGGATCAACTCCAATTTCTACTACCTTGCAGACCGAAGGTTTGAAAACTAGCAAGAATTACTCAATCACAACCCATAAACTGAATGACAGCAACTTTCTCTGATTGTCCCAAGCGGTCTTGTTGTTTATCAAAAGACTTGGGAAGTTTGGTTACCTCAAAAGTATAGTTCGTGCGCCTACTGACCGACTTATGGAGCTTAGGAAACTGAGAACTCCATGGTCATTTCATAGCTAATCAACTCCATGGAAACGTCAATTTTTCGTTCATACATGTTTCTCCCTTCAGCTAATGCCCTCTGAACGGTTGTTCGTGATACCTACTCAGATGTAGAAAAATTCGACCAACTTTATGAGGTGTCTAAGAAAATCCGGGAGGCATGATAGGGGTAAACGACAGTGACCCAATATTATAATGGCCTTGTTGCACTATGGATGTAGTGCAACTGGCATTACAACTACACATGGGATTCTCCAGTGGGTCTGTCGCTCTTCAAAAAAATTGTAGAAAAGGATCGCATGTTCCAATTCCTAGTCGGGCTTAGCAAAGACCTTGACCAAGTATGAGGTCGTATTCTTAATCGATACCCTCTTCCCTCCGCTCATGCTAACTTCAACATATTTGGTGACCTTTTCAAGGAACAATTTTTTCAGTTATTTATAAAAAAATCATTATTCCTTAATGAGAATATATATGATAAATCCTACACTATTGAATCATGTGATGATGACATATGGTTGATTCTCCAATGATTCCCTTTTCTAGCCCATCTTACACAGTGCCCGTTGCTTGCACCCCCTCACTTCATGACTAGGTCAAGTGGATGACTTCATTGACTAGCAAAGTTAATCTGATGGAGTTAAATATAACTGACTAATAGAAATATTTTAAGGAAAAAAAGATAATTTCTTTTCATATTGGTTGCATTTTATATCATAAACAATTAGAAAAAAGCTAGATGAAGCATTCCAATGTATTTACTAATTATAAGGATTAATAACAAAATTGCAATTCCTTGAATTACATAAGTTATTAGTATCAGAGGAAACATTACAAGTCTTCAGCTAAATACGCACAAAAGACTTCTAAGTTATTAGTATCAGAGGAAACATTACAAGTCTTCAGCTAAATACGCACAAAAGACTTCATAACATACGATTTCCAAAAGAACATATATTTTTAAAGAATTCCTACTACAATAACATACGATTTCCAAAAGAACATATATTTTTAAGGAAAAAAATACTATAAAGAGAATTTTCCTAGTAATCTCAGTGTTGTTTGCTTAATAGTTTATGCATGTTTATCTCAACTAAATACGCACAAAGACTTCAAGGAAAATGCAACAGAAAAATAAGTGATTCGGTGATCAGGATCTTGACAGGGATTTGTTGAGCATTGAATAATCATCTTACCTTCCACACAAGGATTTGAGTTTGGACTTCCGGATTTGGACATGCTTGCTTATAGGATTTACAGAACCACTTCTCCAAACCTTCTTCCAATGCCAATTCACAATCAACGATAACTTTCATCTTCAATCTCTACCAAAGGTTTTCTACTGCGACGACTTCTCAGTATTGCTTCAGACCTATTCATCAATTCAACGTATTTTTTTCTCACTTCCAGCATAGGATGCCTCTCAATTGTAGAAACCGAGCATCCATTATAGGCCTCCTTGAGAACCACAAAGCAAGTCTTGCTCTTGAGAAGAAGGTAGAACACATGAGGATGGCGCTCAAACACTTTATGAAACTTTTGCGGCAGGCCTAAGTGCTTCCTGAGACAAAGAAGTCTCCTCCTCTCCGCTGAGTTATCCACAAAAATACTAAGAAGTTCATGCAGAACACCAGCTACTCTCTTCTCTGAGACATCACTGTTTGGATCCAAAGAAGAGAAATCTTCGTAGGGAGATACATAGGGAAGTCTCTGGAAATCATCCAGCCAGCACTCTATCTTTTTCTTCAATCGAAGACCTTTTGAAGGGAAGAGAGGAAAAGTAACCTGATCACAACTGCCTTGCTTCATAGCATTCTTCTGTAAAACAGATAGAATTTCCTCGTTGGAATCGGGTTCAGCGCACAGCCAGCGCTCCTCACCTTCCACCTCAACTATTCGAAAAAATTCATCAGAAATCTCTTCTGGGATCTTAAGAAAATCCTCGGAGAGACCCAAGTACCAGAGCATTCCTTGTACAATCCGTAAGGGTAGCATCTTCTCTCTCGACATCAGTATGAGCCGCCGCAGCCGGCCGACGATCTCCATCCGCCTTCTCAAATAGACATCGCGCTCTTTCAGGTCGATGTCGAAGGCTTCTCGGGTGAGCCGGAACCAGGGTAGGTTGTATTCGGGACCGGTGAACTCCTCGAAAACTGCTGGGTATCGCCGAAGAAAGCTCGCCACCCGGCCGGAGATATCGAGCTCGCGGCTGCGCTTAGAGACTGCGGAGATGGGTAAGCACTGATCGGGCTCCTTGATGATGATGTTCTTGAGGGAGATGAGGGGTCGGAGATCTCTGGATTTGGAGAGGATGTCGATGTTGTCGAAGAAGGGATCCTTCTTCCATTTCATCGTCACATCCACATAGCTTGCTTTTTGGAGGTGCCACAATGCCTCCAAGGTTTTTGAGCAGCGAAGAAGAATATTTTCTCTGAGCCTTCTATCAAGAAGCATGAAATCTTCCCGAGAAAACTCCAGAGCTCTGGTTTTGCTAGGGTTTAACCGGCTGGAGGACCTCAAATGACGTTTCTCGGGGTAATTTACATACATACCACAAACTTTTGTGAATTTACATAGCTAAAAAACAAACTTGTTTTAAATACAAATGAAATTCAAACTTAAAGTAAATTTGAATCTTAAATGACTTCAAATCTTTGAACTAGTATCTACTCTTGAGATCACACATTAAATACAAATGAAATTCAAACTTAAAGTAAATTTAAATCTTAAATGACTTCAAATCTTTGAACCAGTATCTATACTCTTGAAGATCACACCTTGACATTTTTTTTCAGGGCATTTACATGCATACCACGCAAATCTTATTTATTTACATATCTAACATCAAAATTTTAATATTACACTTTAATATTTACAATTAAAATATTAATTTTTTTACATCGCATCAAAAAAATCAATTTACAAACTTTTTAGATGAAAAATGCAATTTTTGACACATAGATTCATAGCATAAAGGTGTTATAAATTTAAATATCAACCTTCTGGCGTTAGATATGTAAATTCATAAGAATTGTACGTCACATTTGTAAATTTCTCATTTTTTTTAAAGCAAACTTGCTCGAGAAAAGCTATCATTATTTATTTGGGCTAACATAATATGTTTTGTGAGTATCGTGCCACTTTTTTGGCCAATCACCTCTTTTTCAGCCTTTTATGATCTTATATTTATCATTAAATAGCTGAGAGCTTTATCATCCAAACAATAGATCATAGATTCAAAGTCTTGCATATTTGGTGTGCATATATTCACAATTAAATTCGTTCAAATTTCCACTCGCTTTTGTGGCTCCCAACATATAAGGTCTACGATCCGCTCGGAGTGATTGCATATAGGGTTGTAAACGAGCTGAGCTTGAGCGAGCTGAGCCTCAGCTCATGTTCGAAATGGCTCATTGACAATGTGTCCGTGTTCGACTCGAATATTATATTCATCTTCGTGTTTGGCTAGAAATAGGTTCGTTATAATATAAAATGCCCCAGAATCGAACCAATGATACCGCGAACAACAGAGTCACTAATAACACAACGATAACACTCGCATAACACCCATAATAACACCTCAGTAACATCCAAATAGCGCGGGTCGTTATTCTTCGATGTTATTGGTGTTATTTCACGGTGTAACACTGCGGAATAACACTGATAATACCAATAACACCGAAGAATAATTACACCGCGGATTAACACTGATAGCACCAATAACACCGCGTAATATTGAGTATATTTTTATTTTTATTTATTTATTTTTGAACAAATTCGAGCCAAACACAAGTGAACAAATATATGTTTGTATTCTGCTCGTTTACATTTCCAGCTTAAAAATTTGTTTGAGTTCAGCTCGTTAAGCTTAGCAAACGAGTCGAACACGAGCTGTTCGCGAACAACAAGCCATTTTGACTGCCCAAATTGCATATTCCTTTATATTCCTTCAAAAGTCCTTGTAGAATTATTATGGGAAAAGTATACTTCTAAAAGCTGCAATATATACATATATAATCAATAGATTAGAATAATCTCTCATTTTAGCTATGAATAAAATGTTTTCAACAGCCACATAAATATGGGAGCTGGCTAACCAATGCACAAACACAAATTTTTAAAAACTATGCCAAAAATATATTAGAAATAGCATAAAATCAACAATCTATCTCTTCTTTCATCCATTCTTACCTGAAAAAGTTGAAAAAAACATATCTTTCAAGCGCTTTTGCTCAATTAATCTGAGCATTCCCCATCTCCCAAGCCTTCAACTCCCTTATCTTCACTGTTTCAGACCCATTGTTGAACACATACATATGAGTGTCTCCAGAAAGCAGTAGTTTGGGATAAACTCTAGCAGTGATGCAAGTTCTTCCTCCATCACCAAAGCTCTCAATCACTGAATGATCAATCTGTCTCAAAACATAAATTTAGAAATAAAAGAGGTTGATTTTGATAAAATCATAATATGGATGGATGAGAAATTAACAAACTCACCAAAGTCCTTAGAGATATCTTCCCCTCTTTCACATCCATGCCCACGAATCCTCCAAATACTGGCTTGTAGAGTTCAGGCCACAATGAAGACCTTTTTGTTGCATGCAAAAGAAGATTTACATATTATCACTCAATTCTTGGGAGTTTACATATCCAAAAATTCAATTTTTACATACATGCATGCCTTCCCTATGCACGAAAATGTCCATTTCACTTTTTAAAAATTAAAATGGTTGTATTTTTTATGTGATGTGAAATATTTCATTGTTATAAATGTAATAAGTAAATTTAGATATCAGATATGTAAATAGATAGGAATTAAGAGGCATATGTAAATGCCCCGAAAGCAAAACATGAAGTTATAACCAACGAATAGCAGAAAATGATTGTATAAAACCAAATTTGATTGAAGTAAAAAACATACTTTCTTTGATCGGAGCACATGAGAACAGCATAATCGGTTCTGGTCTTGAAAACTCTGAAGAAAACTGCAGTGTGCTCCTCAAGATCATGAGAAGCCAAAATAAGCAGGCCAAAAGGTCCTATGCTTCCTGGAACCGAAGCATCCATTTCGTTGCAGGCCATCTGCGCGTCATCAAGTTTCCACTCATGGTGCACGAGCTCAGCCTTTTCGAGCTCTGGAAGCTCAAATTCCACCTCTATATCAGCCTGCTTGTCATTATTGAGAAAAAAAAAAAAAACTCTAGTATATTTCTAAGAATGAAGATTCACATACATACCACTCAATTCTTATTACATATCTAACAACCAGACTTCAAGTCTTATGCCACCTTCCTTATGCATAAAAAGGTTTATTTCACCTTTTAAAAGTTATATTGGTGGCCTTTTTTTTATATGAAATATTTTGATTGGTATAAATGTAAAAAATGAAGTTTAGATGTTGGACATGTAAATACAGGTATGAATGTAAATGCCCCTTCAAAGAATCAAAAAGTTCTTCAACTAAACTTGAATTTTCGATTTGGTTCACCATTTTAAGGAGATTTATGTCGAATTCCATCAGCACCTATAAAAGGTTTTCAAATCCTAAGTATGAAAATTTTGGATGTAGAGGATTTGATAAATTTTGGCTCGAATAGTAATTTATCAAGTCCCACTTTAACTGCAAGTAATGCAATTTACTCAACTTTTTTTGCATTCATGTCTCATTAGATTTAAGATAAGAATAACCAAATTGTGCTTGGAATTACACATCGAAATTCACTAAATCATGTTTTAATAGATAGAATTTATCAACTAAATCCGACTTGGAACCAAAAATGGCATCTGTGCCCTTCGAGCCGCCCATAAAAGCAGCCCATTTGTGGCTTGTGTTCATCAAATAAATAAGAAGAAAAGTACCTGCGAGGTTTTTACTCCTTTGATTTCAATGAGACCTCCCTTACTAACTTCTACATCTTTTAATTCTATCTTTTCCCTCCTCAAGGACTCCAGCTCTCTAACTGGCCATTGCATCAATTGCTTTCCATTCTTATGAAGCCAAATGGCTCTTGGAACAGTCTGAAACTCAAAATATAAAAATTGAAGTTTGAGTTTCTTAGTGAATCATAGAAGACAAGAAATAAAAATGTTTGGTGAAGTTACGCACCAGAACTCCAGCCCATCCCTTCACAATATCATCAGAGATAGTATCAGACTCATTGGACCACGCCCATAACACTCTCCTCCTCTTATCAGAGTCGAAGAACGTTTTTGATGCATAGAAGCTCCCATAATCATATCTCAGCCACATTCGGTGATCATCTTCACCAACATTCTCGGGGGTGAACACATCCAATTCTTCTGAATACCTCCCTATCAAGTAGTAATCATGAGAGTTATCAAACACACCCATTTTCAACACGTGCTTGACTTCCTTTGAGCCCATGCTTGAACCATCCAATCCTCTCTTCCATTTCGCAGACACGGGGAAGAAGTCAATGCATTCTATCATGGACGATGAATTAGTCGAAAACAATGGTCGCTCCGCACTTCTCCACTGCACAAAATCCTTGCTTTGGTAAAGCAAAGCCTTTGCCCTCCTTTCAAAATCCTCGGCTCCTATAGTTGTTCTCCAGAGGCCATCCTTGCCTAGCCAACAAGTGGAGGGGTCTCTGAACTGAGTGGGATCGACTCCTTCTGCAACCATTATCGGGTTGTAGGATGGCTTCACCCACTCTACCAAGAAAGGGTCAGAAATGTTCTTTGGTAGTGCTATGTTTTGAACGTTATGGCCTGATTCATTGATGCCTGTGTAAAGGATAACTGGCTTGTCTCCTGGAAGGATGGTGACAGAGCCAGACCAACATCCTTGACGGTCAAAGGGATCCGATGGCCTGAGAGCAATGTCGAGAGGAGTCCAGTTTATGAGGTCTATGGATTTGGAGTGCCCCCAAGTGATGTTGCCCCATTGTGCAGAGTATGGGTTATATTGGTAGAATAGGTGATAGATACCATTGTAGAGCATTGGTCCTATTTGATTTTAATGTTAATTGGCTTCAATTAATAGCTCTTTAAATAAAATAAATTGATACAGTTTTCAAACAATGTCACATTAAGGAATTGTTTGGCTCCAAAATTTGGGTTAAATCTTTTCAAAAAAGATTTTTGGACAACGTTAATTCGATTACCTTCTTTAATCTCATTTTTCTCTATTTCAAGGCAAAAGATTGAATTTACTAAATGCTAGTAAGAGGCAAAGTGAAGAGATACCACTTCTCCATATGCCTCTCAATCTTCTCCTAAATATTGAAAATACATACCAAACAAATTATAAATTCAACCGCATCTAACATCTATCATATCACACAATTTTCAGGATTTGATGTATCCAGATTTAGTAAAACTTGATTTAAAAGATGTAATAAATAGTTGAATTCAATTCTACTTGTAGCCAAATAGCTCCTGAATGAAATATCTCGATTAAAATACAATATACATGAGAGAGCCATATTACCCAAAAAAAACAGAAAAAATCGTATATTGATTAAAGACAATATACGAGAAATTGGCGATTCATGCGCAGATTTCAAAAGAAAATTACGCGCATGAACACTGAGTTGAATTAATTCAAATATGAATCTGTTTACGGGCTATAGAATTAGTAGCATGACAATGGAGGATTAGGTGAGCTGAGAATGCGAATGGTACCATTGGGATCTGGCATATTTCATCAACGCCGTATGTCAGTTTGTTCGCATGGCAGTAATGACAGAGAAAATAGAGGTTAGGAGCTAATCACGAACGTCTTGGAATAGTTACAGAGATATTAGTAAAATGAATTAGCAGTTTTGAGAAGAACTAAAGAAGCAGTAAGACCATTGATCCAGTTTTGAGGTGGCTGGAAATGGAAGGCAGCTCTGTACTCTTTGCTTGCGATGGAGAGAGGGACTTCGGAATCAAGATTCAGGACATGTCCGCGAGAAGACTTGCTCCAGTCAGTCCAGAACGATGGGAGCCACAGCAAGATGGTGACGAGCTGCCATCGCCAAGCCATGGATTAGGGCTCTTTGTTTGTTAAAAGGAGAGATCGTCGTCTTCCATAGAAAAGGAAAAGGGAGTAGACACTCTTGGGTGCTGTCTCGCTCAATGAGATTTAAGTTATTAGGATTCATTAAAATCCAATAAATTTGGATTTACTAAATTTTAAATGGGTTAAATCTCAAATTTTATGTGGCAATGAAATCACAAAAATTAGATAAATCCATTAAAATTATTTTGGAAGTTTTGTGTGCTTCTAGATAAATATCAACGGATCCACAGGATTTACAGCTGAAATCTATGAAATACGAATTTATCAATTCAGCAACTTTATTTTGTCGAAAATGACCATCTTACATGATTTAGCCTACATCCAGGTTAATTCTCATTCTAGACTCGTTACTAGGCAGCCTCTTTGGGGGTGCTTAGTAACATACATTTAACATAATTTAGTCATGAATTTCACTTGAAACCCAACAAACGCTAAAAATAGACTAATTGAATTTTTCGTTAAATCCAATTTTCTCTTATTATATTTGTTTCCCTCCCACTCTACCTCTTGTGCGACGTAAATCTAGATTTCATCTGTCTGATGTTGCGACAAATTACACGAATTTACTTAATTGTTGCTCGCTTGCTTCAACTCAATCACGAGCTTGCAAGATTTCACCTGTCTGATGTTGCGACAAATTACAGATTTATGTGGTTCGGCAATTGTCTGCGTCCACGGAGCTGCAGAGAAGTTTTTAAAATTGTTGCTCGCTTGCTTCAACTCAATCACGAGCTCGCAAGATTTTGCTGATCCAAAGCTTTAAAAATTATGTATATATAACACTTAAATTTTTATATTTGTTTATACAATATTATTTTTTTTATTCAAATCCATAGCACACTAGTTGTAAACAGTATCAGAAATTCCAACGAATAGAGTTTGAGCGCTTTTCTCCCATTTAAACTTAAACTTACTTTTTAAATGACATCAAAATATGCAAATAAAAAAGTATGTTTTGTACATAAAAATTTTTTTTCCACTGATCTTAAATTGTTCCAATGATTCATAAGAGAAAAATACGGATCCCTTGAAAAAAGATCATGGGATCCGCCAAGACAAACGAGCCAAATTAATTTGGCCAGAGCCGATCGAGTCAAAAAACTAACAAGAAAAAATACTAGGCATTCCAATATAAGTCATTTGACCGTACATGAGTGTGACCGGGTTGCAAATTGCAGGAAGTCAGCTATAGTCAATCCCATAGTACAACTGATCCAAATGAAAAGTTGGTCCCATATTGTATCTTCAACCATCCTTTAGAGATAAAAAGGCTTTGTACCAGAGATTGAAGATAAGCAACTACGATGGGTTAGCCGACCAAACCCTACCGACTTAGCTGACTCAATCAAGCTAAGTTGGCGAGTCAGAATGTGATCGGACGATAAGTTGTTGCTTGTAAAATACTATAAATACTTGAGTATAAAACATATTCAAATGGGAGTAAAATATATAATATCACTATTGTAACAAATACGGTATAAATAGACGAAGCATTTAATGAAGAAGCAACATTATCTTCTAATGTTTATAACTTTCTTCTCTACATCTATACTCTTATCTGACACTCTATTCATTGGGTGTGAATCACACACAATTTTGGATTCAACATTCTCATGCCAAGTAGTCGATCCAACTAAGGCTTTAAAATTGACGTGTTGCCCTCACTGAGAGGCGGCAAAACACTAGCCTCCTTTTGTGCCTCTGTCGAAGGCTAAGCAACAATATTTTTCTGCACTGTTCAGTCGACCGATCTCAAGTCACGATAGAGGCTTAAACCGATAGACTCGCATTCAGGTCGTCGAATATGCCTCGATCGTCTACCCAATATTCCCTCCCTTAATGACCAATAAATGAGTCATAAAATCCTGCTTGATCCATTGGCTCATTAGCTTTCCATTTATTGACTGCGACTTTATTTTTTTCTTCTTTTTGCCTTCTAGGTGGTGTCGCCTTGTCGACTTTTGGAAGGTAGCAATAAGCATTTCAATGCTCAGGAGCTCAACTAGACGATTCAAGATGTTCTTCGTGAAAGTGATTGGAAGTCAATTGATTAGACAGAGATGTGGAAAAAACATGAAATGTCAAACGAGTCTAGTCATTATTTATTTATAAGAATCAAGAGTGTGGAAATTTGTGAAGTTCAATTATTGAAGCATTTGTTATGAAATAAATGATATATACTCTTTTCATTTATTTTTTGATTGCAACGTCGGTTTCAATAGGTATGATAATAAAAGAAAAAAATTATTTACATAAAAATGTATCAGCGCAAATCCCTATAAGATATGACAGTCCAAAACAGAGGAAGTCGGACAGAGGAGGGTCCACCGATAGAAGACCAAAAGACCCATTTTTTTATCAAATGTGTTGTAAAAAACGACGGCAATAAAGCAAAAAAATCATACCGACAAAAATTCGCAAACAAAAAGGCACAGGGAAAACACAGATTTATGTGGTTCGACAATTGTCTGCATCCACGGAGCTGCAAAGGAGTTTTTTACTGCAGAGAAGTTTTTAATTCGAGGAATACACATGTCGATCACCTCGACGATTACAAAAAAGAACAATCTCTCTCTTTCTTCTCTCTCCTCTCATTCTCTCTCTTTCTACCCGAGAGCATCAAACTAAAGTACACCAGAAGAATAACCTGGAAAGCTACCAATGCCGAAAATATATGCCTGGGAAACCAAATCCCGAGAGGTATTACAAGGGGAGCTAGCATGTCTATTTATTAATTTCATCATGTCATTACACATATTAAAGAATTAATCAAATAATTAATGAAACCCATTAATTATTTCATTTTCTCATATGCAGCAAAACACAGAAGGAATTAATAGCAATTAATTTCGAGTATAAAATTCAATTTGCTGTCAAACATGAGAAAATGTTAATTTAAACAGTGTACTGGTTTCCATATTTGCAACAAAATCTCCCACTTGGAGACTGGTACACTGACTGCATCATCCACTAGCTGTGTCACCCTTTTTTTCAAACGTGATATTATCCACCCTTGCAACTCAAAGCCCAGGTCTTCATGTCAGAAAACCAGCTAAAGTCGAGTACAACTTCCGCTTCTCAAAAGTAACACCCTCAGTTAACATATCAACATCAACATAGCCTTATATCTCCAAGTTTTTTCCTGTGTTACTCTTGTATCTGCTTACAACTCCCACTGTATGGGCAATATCCTGTCTCTGCTAAAAGCCATTTTCAATAAGTCTAGCCTTGTATCTCTTACTGCCTTCAAAAACAGTTTTCACCCGGTACACACACTTATTGTACAATGTCTTCTTCCCTGGTGAAAGTTCTGGCAACTCCCAAGTTTGGTTTCCTGGCAGAGAATCCATCTTTTTTCCAGTTCCTTTCCCAATAACGGAAGCAGAAGTTTCTTCCCATAGATGTAGTCCTTTATCTGCATTCTTCAGTAACAAAAATATGTGTCATTAAACTTCTTGATCCCCAATGTTATCACATCATCTTTGGTCATCGCTTTCCCTCATATTCGAACATGAGCTCTAATACCAGTTGTTGTGAAAAATAACAACAATAAAGCAAAAAAATGATCGAGAAAAATCCACAGATAAAAAAGCACAACGAAAGCACACGGATTTACGTGGTTCGACAAATTGCATATGTCCACGGAGCTTCAGAAGATTTTATTACTTCAACGAATATACTCGTCGATCACATCGAAGATTACAAGAAAGAACAATCTCTCTCTCTCTCTCTCTTCTCCCTCTTCTCCTTCTCTTTATCTATTCGAGAGCTTCAAAGCGAAGCACGACAGAAGAAGAACCTGGAAAATTACCAATGCCAGAGAGAGATGCCTAGGAAACCAAATCCTGAGTGAGATTATAATGAGAGCTAGTATGTTTATTTATTAATTATGTCATGCCATTAGTCACATTAAGAAACTAATCAAATAATTAATGAAACACATTAATTATTTTCTTTTCTCATATGCAACAAATCATAGAAGGAATTAAAAATAATTAATTTCGAGTATCAAATCCAATTTGCTGCCAAATACCAGAAAATATCAATTTAAACAGTGAATCGGTTTCCATATTCACAACAAAATGTAGTCATCTGAGCCAAGGCCAAAGGTCGCATAGGATAGAAGGACAAAAAGATCAAAGCCGAGCGAAGGATCTGACTTGCCTTTTGGCAAAACCAACTCAATGAGAGAATTCAGTTCATGAATATCACCAGTTGTCCCGCTAACACCCTCAAAGCTCCTCATAAGGGATCGAGAATCGGCGATACTACAAAGCTTTGTAATTATCTCACAAGCTTCCTTAGTTAACGAATGAGTTGTCTATCATGTTATCGTGAATCATCATCTAGTTGATAACCTAGTTTCATTCCGCTACAGAAGCTCATCGTTCAGGTATCCGCGGTAGACAACCAGTCCAAATCAACTAATCGACAAAAGTCTAGTTGATCAAATTAGTTAAACCAACCTGAAGCCATATAGATCAATCGACTGGCTACACCAACTCATCCTAGTTGACCAAAACGGCCTTATGGAGTTGAGGGCAAACAGACTTAGCCGACCGAGTCTGAGAGCAGTCAAGCAATATGCTCTTGTATATAAAATACCCAAAAAATTACGTGTGACCCCCATCAAGCATGGACATATATTTAAATATTATTTTATTAAACTTTTTTTTTCTACAAATAGGGAGATTATTGCAAGAAAAAAGGGTTAGGCAAGACGCATTGTTGTTCGCTCCTCTCACAGTCTCTTCCACTCTCCCTTTATTACGTTTTGTTTCTCGGGATGTGATTCATGAACAAATCAAGATTCAATATTAATGCTGTATTCAAACACCTAAGTAAGAATATTTAAAATCAACGTGTCGATTCAACCACTTGAGCCTTTAACGTGTGAGTTCTCAATCTTAATTTTATGATCTCTCTTCGAGTTATTTGATAAGTAGAGAAGCAAATTCTTCAAAAACATTCTCCCAAGCACTCTCTCTTCGAGAAAAAAAATATCATTTTCTTGAGAAGCATATACTTAATTTCAATTCAATTCCCCGACCAATAGAACACCCTTCACTTACAAACTCATTAAATATAAGTTGGACGATAAAACAAACTAAAATTTGTTAAACTTAAAGCATATTAATATTATAGGCAAAAAACTTTTATTGAAAATTATATTCCACCTTTTGATTCACATTTAATTTGGGCAGGAATTGATAAGCTGCTCATTCCTTTGAACTCATTTAACATCATAATAGCCGACAATGACTTATATTTATTTTTTAATCTTCACTTACTCTCTCTCTGGACTTCCTTCCTCTTTATGCATTCTGAAAAAAAACTCTTCAGTGATTGTGGTTTTAGGAATTGCCACCACCTATTTCAAAGCAATTTTCATTTTCATGATGAGAGAGGATACAATTATACAGAGGAAAATGAAGGAGCGGGAGCAAGGTTTCAATAGAGAAGGCTCAACAAATATCCCTTAATTCTTTTAATGGGATCACCATTCAAATTATAGGAGAATAAATGAACTAAATATGTATGATGAAACTCCCATTAATTTGGTTTCAAATAAATCCACAAGGCCACTAACAAGTTTTATAGGCCGATTCAACAGAATGGCTCTACTAGATAGTTCAATCAAACAATTTGGCCAATTAGCTTAGCCAAGCGTGTTAGTCAATCAGATTCGATAGTATGAGTTCAAAGCAACCGCACATAATTGGCCTTGTCATTCATCCCAGGAGGCCAAATATGTTGACACGATAAGTA